TAGACCGAACTCCTTATAACATGCAACAGTGCATGGATCCATTTTCTAACCCACTTACAATGTTCAAGGTCAGTGGGCTTGGAAACTGATACATTGGGTGAGACACAAAGCATAACATGAAAAAAATGCCAGTCTATTTTAGAATTTGTTTTATCACATGGCACAAGACACATCAACTTCACTTCAACAATTTCCAGACCAGAGTTTTAGAATTTGTTTTCAGCAACACTGCACACACACACAGTCATTTTCATTCAAAAGTTAGGAGGAGTGGAGGAGAGGAATTGCATAGGGAAGAAAAGGAAAAAACTGCGAATATTCTAATTCCTCACTTGGAAAACAGTGATGGAGCATGGTTCTGATGTGCTCCGGCAACTGAACAAAATAGAATAGATCTCAGATGTTCTCAGATTTTATCCATCCATACAAATGCTTCATAATGATTTTATGCTTCAGAAAGCATTGTTTATCTCATCATTAGCAGACTGTATGGGTTTGCTAGAGGTACACTCAGCTGTGTGTGAAGGACACCCAAAGGGACAGACTGTGCCTCTTACCTGTTGTGCCATTTTATTCTGTGGCCTGTACAGTACTTGTGTGGACCCTTATGGGCAGACCTATGTCAGCTTGGGTGACCTGAATGTTATTAAAAGACTATATAATAGGTATGTATTGGTAGAACTGGGTGTGTTTTAAGCCTTCAATGGGAGATATTAAAGTGGCAGATCACCACGATTTATATAAAATCATGTCATCTCTAAAATTGGTTTCACTCTCAGTCAGAACCCATCTTTTTCTTTCTTTTCACATCTTTACTAAAATAAAAGTATTGTATTATAGAAGGGTTGTCTTTATATGTATGGAGGATTAAAAGTGCCAAAGCCACCCACCAACGCAACCCTGGTTTGTAAAACCTTTGGTTATATTCCCCCGGTTTGCCAACCATTAATATTATATCCCACTCGGGACCTCCAAGGAACCCAACCCTGTGTGTCCCCATGATTCCACCAATTCAGCCTCCACCTCCATTTGCACAATGTGTAAGAGGACCATATCCTTTCCCATATATCTGTACCCCTGGCCAACCCTGATTTGAAAGCCCCCTGTCCGTAGTTTGTACGGCCTTCCAGCATCAAACCACCTCGCCTGCTACCTGGATGAAGTATGTAAAACAAAAACCGAGAGCCCCTGAAAAAAAAAAAAAAAAAAAAAAAAAAAAAAGAAATCCTCTTGCTGTTGGGGATCCGCCCTCGAATCCACCAACGCAAAATCTGTTAAAAGGCTCCCCCCAATTTGGTTCAAATGAGCCCGGCCAAGGCT